GAGCCAAAACGGCTACGGACCCTCGTGGGCCTCTCTTGGGAGCCTTTGGGGACCTCGTGAGTATCTTTGGGGGGCGCCTTCGCGTAGTCCTACTGTAGGGCCCTCGTGGGCTGTCCTGACGCCCTCTTGGGGGCATCGTTGGCCGATCTGGGGCGACCTCGGAGGCCTTTTGGGCCGCCGTCGTGAACGCTGCTGCGAAATAGACAGCGCAGATGCTGAAAATGTATGCTCCCCGAGGGACTGGGAAGATTGTTGCCTCTTGGGGACCCTCCTGAAGGCCTCTTCGGGCGTTTTGGGGACCACTTGGGTCGTCTTGGGAGCCTTTGGGCCGTCTCGAGGCCGTCTTGCGCTGTCTTGGGGCTCTCCTGCGTAGCTTCGACCACTCCTCTGATCGCGTTGCGTCTGCTGGGCAAGGCCTGGCAAGGCGCCCTGGGAGGCGCGACAGGGCTGGCGGACGTCTTCCAGTGGCGTCCAGGGGGCCCCAAAGCTCCAGATCTTGGGAGTCCAGTTTGAGGGTGGTGGGTCCAGCCCCCTCAGAGTGGTAAAATATAAGAGGGGAATACGTATTCCTCTCTTCCTCAGTGCAGCAGTGGACAGGGGGGAAGGGGGAATGGGGGGAGGGAGGTGGAAAGAGAGCTGGAGTATGCGATGGGGTGGGAGCAGGGAGGAGGGAGCCTCCCCCCATGGAAGGATGACGAGAAGGTGGTCAGATGCCCTGCCATCCAGCCCTCGGGCCCCTCCATGCGGGCACCCAGCCAGACGCGGCAGGCGGTCTGATGCTCCTGCAGTAGCTCCAGCCTGGGGCAGGGGTCATGGGAAGGATGAGGAGGAGGGATAACATCGGGTGCGGTTCAGGAGGAGGAGAGGGTGGGGAAGAGAAGAGGGGAGGAAACGAGACTGGGAGGAGATCCGGGGAAGAGAGAGGAGGACTGAACGAACAGATGCGTTTCACGGTCCAGCTGAGGTCTCTGCTGGCCTGCAATGCTCTCAACGTGTGGAAGAACACTGGGCCGGGCGGACAAAGACCAGATGACGAGGAGCGCATTTACGTGTTCTCGGCAGTGACCCGCGTGATGGGGGGGGAGGGCGGGGGGACTGGAGGGGGCATAACGTGGCCCCCGCCAGACTGATGCCAGACACACTGCGGCAGTGCCGGGGACGCACTGAAAGGGGGAGCGTTACGTTATGGGGAGGGGTGGGTACGGGGCATGACGCGCGTTATGGCCCAGAGGGTAAACAAACACACACACACACATACACACACACACACACGCACGCACACACATACACACACTCACACACACACACACGCACATACACGCACATACACACTCACACATACACGCACATACACGCACATACACACACACGCACACACACACACACACGCGCGCGCTGTTTTTTTGTTCGTTTTCTCTCTCTCTCTCTCTCTCTCTCTTTCGGAGGAGGAGGAAGAAAGGAGAAAGTGTAGGAGAGGAGGAGGAGGAGGAGGGGGAGGAGGGGGAGGGGAGGAGGGGAGGAGAGGAGGAGGAGGAGGAGGAGGAGGAGGAGGAGGAGGGGGAGGAGGGGGAGGAGGAGGAGGAGGGGCGCAGGAGGAACGAGAGGAGAAGGTGGGAAGCAAGCCAGGCTCGGCGGCCAGCCCACGGGGGCGGGAGTCTGAGAGGGGGCGCGGGCCTTCCCAGGAGGCTCGGAGGCTCTCCCGCCTTCCGGACGTTTTTTTTTGTGAGCCTTCCCCGAAGGGCGCCAGAGCAGCTCTTCAGAGAGCCGGAAGGCCTCTGGCAAGCCCCGCCGCATTCTCAGAATGCCTCCTCCTTCTCACTCCCCCCCCCTCGCTCGCGGCCGACAAGAGGAATCGGGAGGAGCCAAGAGCTCGGCGCCCTAATTATCCGTGACTCCCTCCGTGCTCTGAGCGTGAAGGACACACTGGGCAAGGAGGCAAGGAGTCCTTGGAAGATTCTCTCTGCATCGGGACCCTCAAAGAACGAGGATGAAGGGCTAGTCCTGGGACAGCCCCAGGGTCTAGGATCCCTTTTCCTCAGGATCCGCTTCCTTCATGGCGACCTTCCCACTCCTCCACCTCTATCTAGGCTGGGAGGTTCCCCAGGGCGCGGGCAAGACAGGGGCAGAGAGAGAGCGAGAAGCGCGGGGTCGTCGAGAGATCGTGGCCCCGCGAATTGAACAGCAGGTCTATTGCCAACCGCTTGCCTCGGGTAGAAAGGCGTGTGGGACATTTGGCTGTCTCTTGCCCCCCAGTTTCCACTCCACAAGATGCCAACATCGTTCGACCCTGTCGGTTCGTGTGAGGGAGAGGGGGAGGAGGAGGGGGAGGGGGAGGAGGAGGAGGAGGAGGAGGAGGAGGAGGAGGAGGAGAACTCTGGCCCGACCGTCCAAGGCCGGTCCTGGGAAGTGCTGTTTGCGGCGATCGTTCTCCTCGCTTCCCAATGCCACCTTTGGCCCTCCAACCTCGACAACCCGAGGTAAATCGGGCCATGTCGCAATCGAATCGGATGGGAAGCTCTTCCTTTTGACACCCTCCCCGCCGGGGGGATGGGTGAAGGGTTCCCTGTGGTCGTCCTGGGGAAGTGCGGGGGGGTTCCCGGGAGGGGCGGGGTGAGCACCTCCCCCTTGGAGAAGCTTGTCGCTCCTGTTCTCCTATAATGTAATATTCGGGCCAATCTGCCTTTTCCTGGTGCCACAATGCATCGCGAATGATACCGGATTTGCGCTCCCGAGGCCGCATTCTCTTGAATATTTCTCACCACCAGCGTTCCCAAAACCAACCCCTCATGATTGCCACGGCTCGGGCCCCCGGGGCCACACCCCGTCGCACATTACAATCACCTTGTGATCCCGAAGCCAAGGAACGACCCCACGGAGGCTGCCTCATTGCACCACCTTTCTCCAGAACAGAACACTGTCAGTTTCTGTATTGGGATGTACTCGTAAGGCGATGTTCAGCCCTACGCGGTTTCCTGAGGAGTCGGTTTCGGATCCGAGGCCGCGAATCCTCGGAAAATAGCTCCGGGGGCGCACTCCCGAAGCCGCGAACATCCGAAATCACAGTGGAGTTCGCTCCCGAGGCCTCCATCCCTAATCCCACCAACCCGTTGGGTTAAGGTGATCTAGCGACTGCATTTGTTCCTGATCCAGAAAGCCTCGCCCTATCGAACAGGAGGGTCCTTCTCCTCCCCTGCGCGACGTTTTGGTGGCACAAAACTGAATAGCGATGCGGAAGCGGCCTCGCGCGCAGCGACGAGGCGGAGCCAGTATATGCTTTCCACGACAAACCCCCATAACACCCGAACGCAATGTCAAAATCGTATGTGCAAACATGTGCGACACATATCATACCAGCCTGGCCGGCCAACCGAAGACTGGGTTTTGTTCGGAAGCCTCCTTTGGAATAGCAGAACGGTGCGACCGATGACGATGTAGTGTGGTAGCCCATTGAAATAGACCGTCGTAGAATCACGCAAACCAAAAACATTCGTAGAATACCTGGGTGGCCTGGCTTGATCAGGTCAAACAAAGCCTTCCTGTGTGGGGACTCTGCGCATGAAAGAAATCGTACGTCTCAAAATGGCCCGCAGCTGGACGGAACAGTGCTGCAAGAGCGGGAAGCACCAGGCCTGAGGCAACCTTGTGCGCCAGTCCCGCAGACGCTATGTCCCAAACCATACCAAGCGGGGCAAGACAGTTTTCCCGCAGCGTAGACTCGATCGGTATGCCGACCTCGTCTAAAAACCAAGACTGCAAGTCGTCGAACTGCTAATACATGTCCCTCCTGGCATGGTAGACCGCTGGACTGGCGCCCTCCAGGTAGGACAGAGCGTGACACCAGTGAAATCTGGCCACTCCTTTCATACCAAGATGGGACATAGTCCGGAGAAGAGCCCGAAGACGCCAGCCGGCTTCTGTGGCAAAGTGCAACGCAGCCACATGCATGTCCAGGCTTGGGTCGAAAATAGCACTGGGTATTTCGAATGATCCGCCATGTTCGCTTTTCGTATCTGAACTGTGCATGCTCTGGATGGACGGTTCGAACAGACTGACAAGCTGAAACAAATTCGAAGACCGAGCTGTCCTGGGACGCGTGGCTCAACACACGCCAGCAATTTAAAACAAATGCAAATATCATTTCAACGATAGCCACGAACGGCATCGCCTCCCGCGCGCCAGAGTGGCACACGCTCCAAAATGGTGGGCCAAGAGCGGTCCATTGGAAAACCGTATCTTCAGGCTGAAAGAACGATCTGACAGCGCGCCATCAACAATAACATGAGCTGTTTTTTTTTCTGGCGCGCGCCAAAACAAGAGAACCTTCAGGAAGGTGTCGTTCGTTCCTTTTGCTTTGAGTTTTTCCACGAGACGTTCCGCCCGCAGGCGATCGAATGCGCCTGACACATCCGAACAATATAAGCCAACGCGTTTGCCTCGACCACTCTCCCAGAGCCAGCTGCAGACGGCGAAGGCGAGGGCATCCCTGTAACTTGTAGCCACGGCCTCTATGGGACGCGAATTGGCTATCACCGTATGCTCCCGTGGATTCGAAGAAGGGCAGAAGAAAACTACCAAACACCCATGCCTCTGATTTCGCACTGCGCGACGTCAGGAATATGTCTCTGTAGTTGTCCGGCTGCGAGCGGCTGCGTCGCTTTCACAAGGGGAGTAACCAGTGAACCTCCCATGCAGAAGACCAATCGCTGCTCTTGAGGATGAGGCGGAGCATATTTCTATGGGTAGCGCGACTTGCCTAGCGCGCCGCTTCCAAAGGCGAACAGAAATAGCGTCTGGACCAGTCCCAGAGTCTTCTCGGAATTTCCCCAGCACTCGAAAACTGCACGTGCTCCGATGGATGCAAAACCGGACATGTGCTGATCCAGAGGTTGCCAAGTTCTTGGGAATGTATTTTCCACTGTGGCTGGCAAGCCAAACTTCGCGCTGAAGGTCGTCATGAACGAGTTCGCCTTGCCTTCTGGGGTGGTTGCCCACTGTCCGCCGCCATCCACGAGATGAGGTATCGACGAAGACGAAAACTGGCCAGCCCCGAGCAGCACTGCGCTACACAGCGACCACCGTTTCTCCAGCAGAAGCCCGCTGCCGAGCGCGGGCCACGTACTTCGAATGCTCGTCCCGGAGACTTCCGGAACGTGCGTATTGCTTCCGAGCGCACCCCGCCGTGCGAACAGCGCGGGCCCTGTGGCCGATCAGTTCCTGGTACCTGTCCATCCGCCACGGATAAGAAGACTAACGAAGAGATGCCTGGTGTCGCGGAATATCGGTTTTCGCATGTTCTGCCACATGGTCCGAAAACTTCGCCGCAACAACGTCGGCATCGCACTCGTGAAAGAACTCCCGCCAATCAGAGGACGACCGACTATGGCCCAAACCAGCCCAGTCGGGAACATTGAAATGCCAATGCTCTCTAACGACCAGCGCTCTGAGACGCGCAGCGAAACTCGTGCAAGCACAATTCTATGATCGCTGATTATTTGAAGGACCAAACAAGCAAAATCAAATAACAAATCGGCAAAAACAAGATCCAACAAAGAACCTCCACGAAAGGCTTGCCCCGCCTTCTCCTTGATGTCCCGGTGCTGCCGTAAATCGTGTGCAGCTCCTTCCCTTCGGCGGTGGTCCTGCTGTGCGAGTGCTGGAGCCACCACTGGTTGTGCGCATTCCCACACGTCGGTCGGAAGAAGTAGGTACAAACATGAAGTAGGAAGGCGGATCAGGTAGATTGAGTTCAGGACCTCCCAGAGAAGAACAACACACAGCAAAAGCATATTGATTATTGAATGAGGAAGGCGCTTGAAAAAGACTGGAATCTGGGACTCCAGAAATACCGATTTTTCGACGACCGATGGGTATTCCTACCACCCACGATCAGTGTAGTAGTGGCCGTGTGCTCGAGGGACTCCCACTCGGACTCCAAAGGGCGGATAGCATCAACTTCGCCCTGGCAGAAGGGGGAGGGTACCACACAGCGCGCAGCTTGCTTCGCGTGAACATTATGCCGACTGCGCTCAGAGCCATCAAAATCTGAAACACGCACAAAACAATCAACAAACGCCTCCGTCGCCATGAATACAATATTACAAAATACACTCGGAAACCGCACGCCTCACAACACGCCGGAAAAAACAAACAGTCAGATACATGCACAGCACACTCGGAGGAACACCCTGGTTGCTTCGGCCGACTGGTCCAACACAGCGAGGAAGTAGCGAGGGCGCTGATGAGAATTACAACCAAACGCTGTCGAGGACACAACCACACACACAAACAAACAACCAACCAACAACACAAACAAATTAACAAACCAACAAACCAAGCATCTCTATATATATGTATAGATACATATATACATGTGTATATATATAACTATATATTGCGGACATGGCCTCGTTCGCAACGACGAGGCGGAGCCAGTAGATGTACTGAGAGCGGGGTCGCGGCTGGGCCATCAAGAATCGGCCCAATTCACAACACACACAAACTCACACACACACACACACACGAACACACTGCGGGCAGACTGTCGAGCGAGGGCAAACGCGCGGCCGGGCCGGCTGACGCGGCGGGGCGGCCAGGGAACACACACGAACACACACACACACACACGAACACACACACACGAGGAGGAGGAGGAGGAGGAGGAGGAGGAAGAGGAGGAGGGAGGAGGGAGGAGAGAAGGGAGGAGGATGAGGAGGAGACGGAGGAGGAGGAGCGAGGAGGGAGGAGGGAGGCGGGAGGAGGAGGAGGAGGAGGAGGAGGAGGAGGAGGGAGGAGGAGGAGGAGGAGGGAGGAGGAGGAGGAAGAGGAGGCACACACACGCACACAGACACTCACGGCTGGCGTGGAATGGGGGGGGCGAGAGAGGGCGCGCCCGAGGCGTGGCGCTCCAGGACGTGGACCATGTCCCCGGCCTGCGGCCGCCGCGGGGCGCGCGGGCCGACGCGGGGGGCCGCGCGGGGGGCGCAGAAGAGGCCCAGGATGACGACGACGACGAGGTTAATGTTGATGGTGATGGTGACACTGATGGGTATGATGATGATGATGATGATGATGATGATGATGATGGTGATGGTGATGGTGATGGTGATGGTGATGGTGATGGTGGTGGTGATGACGATGATGACGGTGATGGTGATGGTGATGGTGATGATGATGACAGTGAGGATGATGAAGGTGACGAGGATAATGACGACGACGACGATGATGATGATGATGATGATGATGATGTTGATGCTTATGGTGACACTGATGGATACTGATGGTGCTGATGATAATGATGATGATGATAATGATGGTGCTTATGATGATGGAGGTGAAGATGAAGATGAAGATGAATATGATGATTATGATGATGATGATGATGAAAATGATGAAGATGATGATGATGATGCTGACGATTATGATGGTGACGAGGATGGTGACGGCGATCATGAACGTGATGACTGACGGGACGGAGAATCACTGTCCGCCAGCAGGGATACCTGACGCCTGCCACCGAACAGCTGGAACAGTTTGTGTGACTCCATTATCTGTCCGCTGGAAGATGATGTCGACGATGTTTATGATGCTGACGGGTCTGGTGATGAGCACGATGATGAGCACGATGACGATGTGCAGCAGCAGGGAGCAGCAGGCGCAGAAACAGCCCGAGCAGGACCAGGACCTCCCGCACTGCTTATCATCTCCAGTGTCCCAGTTCACTGCTTCATCCGCGCTCCTCCTTCTCCTCCTCCTCCTCCTCCTCCTCCTCCCCATCCCTCATCTCATTCCCCTACCCTGTTCACGTGTAGCGTTTCCCACAATAGTGCTTTGCTTAGGGGATCTTCCTTCTTTACTCAGAAACTGGGCCTGTCTGTTGGTCTGGGGAGTATGTTGTCGCCTTCGCCAGCCCGTCGCCGCCCCGCCCGTGGTCTGGGCCTGTCTGTCGGTCTGGCGGATATGTTGTCGCCAACGCCAACCCGTCGCCGTCCGTCGACTGGGCCTGTCACTCGGTCTTGCAGACACATTGTCGCCGTCGCCGCAAGTCGTCTGGGCCTGTCTGTCGGTGTGGCGGACGTTGTCGCCGACGCCAGCTCGTCGCTGCCCGTCGTCTGGGCCCGTCAGCCGGTCTGGCGGAGAAGTTGTCGCCGTCGCCGCCCGTCGTCTGGGCTTGCCTGTCGGTCTGGCGGATACGTTGTCGTCGTCGCCGCTCCAGATTGCACAGCATGGATTGCGCCGCATGGACTGCGACGCGAAGATACCACCGCACAGATTGCGCCGCAAATGTTGCACCGCATATGCTGCACTCTATTCATAGAAGGTACCGCGTAGATTGCAACACATGAGGAGGAGGAGGAGGAGGAGGAGGATAAGGAGGAGGAGGAGGAGGAGGAGAACAACATGCCCGGATCGTTGGTTTCAGGCTCTGTCCGCGCTTCCGTCTCCGACCCAAGGGGTGGTTCGGGGGCGCCCCTCGCGCCGCCGTCCGCCGCCCCTTGGGGGTCAACCTGGAGCCATCGCGGAGTCGCATTATCGGGAGCGGCCAAGAGGGGGGTGTCCAAGAGGGGGGGGTGCAAATCATGACCAGCGGCATGTGCGCGGCCCAGCGGGGGGGGCCCGGGACGTAATGAAATAAGAAGAGGCGCCATGAAATCTGGGGAAAGATCATGGCCCCCGCCATGATATCTACCCCCCCTAATCATCACCCCCCTCTTTGCCGCCCCCGACATTAAAATCATGGGATCAAACCATCCGGCCGCAGACCCCTCCCCGTGTCCAAAAGCACAAGCTGTTCGAGCTGCGTCGACCCGTGGCGACGAGAAGGCACCTCGAAAGCAAACTGCCGCTGTCTCAAATGGCCCTGTTCTGGTCGTCCCATGCCCAGCAGGTCCTTCTTCAGATGGACGTGCGGCGTCGACTTTTCGACCCTGCAATTTGCACTGTCGAATCGCAGCCACAGATTTGTCATGGAAATCTGGAAGGCTGAGGTGGCACTGTGACCCTGCATGCCGGTAGCGCGCGCGCAGCGAGCAAAAACATGTCAGGGGGAGGAGGGAGGAGGGAGGGAGGAGTAGGAGGACTGATAGGAGGGTGGTGGAGGAGCGAGGCCTCTTGGCCTTCGGGGGGGTCCTCCTCGTCGCCATGGCTGGACGCAGTTCCGCAAACTTGTGCGTTTGGACCCTGGGAGAGGCTAGGAGGCCCATTTGAGCGGATTAAGCCCCGATTGAGTGGGCGTGCTGGCACAGGGCGTTTCTCCTCCGCCTCCTTTCGTCGTCGTCGTCGTCCTCCTCCCCCTCCCCCTGCCCCTCCCCCTCCCCCTCCCCCTCCTCCTCCTCCTCCTCCTCCTCCTCAGGCTACCCCTCCTCCTCCTCCTCCTCCTCCTCCTCCTCCTCTCCTCCTCCTCCTCCTCCTTCCTCCTCCTCCTCTCCTCCTCCCCTCCTCCCTCCCTCCCCACCCCATGTCCTGGCGTGCCACCAGGCCTCCCCTCCCTGCCCCCCCCTCCCCGGCAGGAGGGCTCAGTGCGTCGGGGCCTCTGCTCCCCAGGACGGCGGCTTTTTTCTGAAGACTCGCACTCTCTCTCGCTCCTGGAGTGAAACGAATATGGGAAAGCGAAAACCCACCCCCACCCCCAGTCTCGACCCCACTCCGGAACCCGCGACCCAGGGGGTCGGGACTGGGGGTGGGGGTGGGCATGTTGGGGCCCAAGTGTGGAGCAAACCCACCCCCACCCCCAGCCACGACCCCTCGAGTCGCCCGCTCGGGGATGGAAGTCGGGAGTGGGGGTGGGGCTAAGATCGGGATAAATCGCTCCAGAGCGTTCCGGAGCGCTCTCAGAGCGTTCCGGAACGCTCTGGAGCGGACGCGGCGCCCAATACATCCTCCAAACCCGCCGATTCTCAGAGATTTCGAGTTATCCCGATCCGATTTTGTCCCGATCTTCGCGTCGTTTTAAGTGGGGGTGGGGGTGCCTTCTCGCCCTCTGAGAGGGAGGAGAGGGAGGAGGAGGAGGAGGAGGAGGAGGAGGAGGAGGAGGAGGAGGAGGAGGAGGAGGAGGAGGGAAGACGAAGAGATGGAGGGGTGGGGGTGCCTTCTCGCCCTCTGGGAACCTATGCGTGCGCGGGTGTGCCGTCCGGTGCCTGGCTGCTCAGCTGCCGCCCGTGGGCGCCCCCGTGCCCGAGGCGCGCGGCGAAGCTCGGGCCGGGCGAAAGGGGGGGACAGCAAAAGGGGGGGATAGCCAAGGGGGGGTCAGCAAAGGGGGGGATAGCAAAGGGGGGGCCCGAGCCTCGGGCCGGGCGAAAGGGGGGGATAGCAAAGGGGGGGGGGGTGAGACTCGGCTCGCGTCGCTGATCTTCCCGGCGCCTCGCGCCGGGAGGCGCCCATGTACATCGAGGACGGGGCCCCTCGGCGGGGCCGCAACCCGCTGCGTGCAGCAGCTTTCGTAGCCCCCCCCCCCTTTTCCCTAGATCCCCCCCTCTCGCCCGGCCCGATGGAAGCTTGGCCCGGTGCCCGTCCGTGGCTGGGCATCGCTCGGACGTCCTTTCTCTGTGTGTGTTTCGGTTTCGTGCGTGGCTTTTTCGCCACATGATCAAGGATGCTCCTCGACGGTCCTCGCCGAAGGAAAGATGCACACGTCCGCGCGATGCCGAGGTGGGCGCCTCGCGCGCTGGCCGTGGGCGCGCCGAGGTCTTTTGCGCGCCGTGTGCGCCGGGTGGCTGCGGAGGCGCCCGGCCTGCGCCCCTTCTCGCGCCGCCGACTCGCGGGCGCGCCCGGTCGGCGGCAGGCACACGGGCAGCGCGCCGCTGGCAGGATCGGGAGCGGCCGAGATGAAGGGGCCCCGGGATACACGAGTAAATACACACAAATGAAAGGATTCCCCATATTGTCCCATATTTCTGGGTTTCTGTCTTCCCCCCCACGGCCCACATTTTCCTATAGTTTCTGGGGGTTCGACGATTAATTGTGTCTGTGTATTCTTTCCCCTCCTGAAAGAGGGGGGTGTCCAGGAGAAGGGGGGTGCACATCACGACCGGCGGCACGTGCGCGGCCCAGCGGGGGGGGGGGGCGGGGGGCCAGGGACGCAATGGAACAAGAAGAGGCGCCCTGAGGTCCGGGGAAACATCACGGCACCCGCCATGATATCCCCCCCCCCTGGTCATCACCCCCCTCTTGGCCGCCCCCGACAGAACACGGCCTTGACCACACACGGAGGGGGAGCAGGGCGCGACCTCCGATCGCGCCCACACAGCTCGGCCTCCACGAGCTCGGGTCGCGAGCTAAGCGGTCGCGGCCGGCGTGGCGGATGAGATGGTCATGACAGCGACTGCCCGGGACAGCGTGCGAGGCTCCGACAAAAACGGAATTCAGCCAAGCACGCGCCAGTCTGCCACGTTGCTTGCACTGCATGAATTGCACAGCGCAGCCTGCGCCACATGGCGCGCGCGCACTACATATATTCTCCAGAATATGTGAGCACGTTCCTAACACCACATAGCCCACACAACATGTCACGTTGCCTCTGTCACAGAGATATCGGGCGGTGCTAGGGCGAAGATGAATCCGTTCAAACGTGTTCAGGGCCGCTCTGAAAATAGCCGCGGCGCCCGAGACATCCTCCAGAGCCTCCGGATCTCAGAGATTATCTAGTAATCCTCATCGGTAGTTGGCCTCGTCTTGGCTTCGTCTTCGGATAGCACGCCGTACGCCGTCGCGCAGCCCACATAACATTAGGCGATATAGGTCGCACCGCGTACTGTTCACCACGTAGCGTTCACCCCGCAGCTTGCATCATAGAGGCTACACCAGGTACCTACCTTGTGCCACAAGTTTGGCACTGCATAGCTTGCGCAGCATATGCTGTGCTGCGAAGCGTGCACCGCAGGGCAAACACCACGTAGATTGCGCAACGAAGCTTTCACCGACAGAGATACACCACATAGCTGTCATAGCAAGAACGCAATGATTCCTTCGGGCCGACGCTGGCACACATAACCTTCGCAAACGTTGTTCCACCCGGGAACTGACGCCGCGCCAGGGGTCAGCCGTCGCGCAAAATTTCAAAGACCTAGCATGCCGCAAGGCCTCCCGAAATCCCGGAGGGCGGGGTCCCGCGCGGAACGCGCCGAGATGTTCGGCCAGACCCCCCGAAATCCTTGACCGCGGGATGTTGCGCGGAACGCACCATGTCTATCCACCAAGCCCCCCAAATCCCTGAGCGCGGGGTTCTGCGCGGCACGCGCCAGGTCTTTGGTGCTTCAGAATCCTGGAGGGCAGGGCTGTGCGCGGAACGCCCTAAGTGCTGTTTAGGGGCCCGGCGCGTTTCGTGCGAAACACGCCAAACGCGCCAAGTGTTTCTTTTCAAGGGGCCCAAGGACACACGAACAAATACACACAAATAAAACAAAAAAACATATTTTCCCATAGTTTCGGAGTTTCTGTCTTCCCCCGCACTCCCCATATTTTCCCATATTTTTTCGGGGGAATCAGCGATTAATTGTGTCTGTGCGTTTTTTTTCCCTCCTGAGCCAAACGCGACAAGTGTTTCTTGAGGAGCCCGGCGAGTTCTGCGCGGAACGCGCCAAATCATTTTTTGGGGGCCCAGCGCGTTTCCAGGTCTTTGCGTCTGTGCGTGTGTGCGCGACATCGGCGGAAGAGGTGCGCGCGAGGGCGCGCGCGTGCGCGGGGCAAGAAAGGCGACAACCAAAAAAACGGCATCGTCATTTGCGTCGCTTGCCGCCGGCGAGGAGGTGCCGACCAGCCATAACTGGGGGAGCTGTTGTCCTTACCCCCCTGGGGGAACCCATCGCCTCGGCGATCTCTCGAGAGGGGTGTCGAAATCGATGGGTCCCCCAGGGGGGTAAGGGCCACAGCTCCCCAAGTTGTGGCTGGCCTGAGGTGGGAAGGGGGGAGGGGGAGGGGGATGGGGCAAGCGAGGCGCGTTAGCGTCACATCTGACGTCCTACCCCTCCCTCCCATCCCTTACCATGAGACGGAATCTCCGATCGATTCGCGCAGTCGGATGTCGAGCAGGGCAAGGACCCTAAGAGGGTACGCGATGGATGGAGAACTGAGCATAGCATGTCAAGTGCATGTCATAACATGGCGTGGCTTTTCTTAGCGAAGCATGGCATCACAAAGCATAGCGAAGCAAAGCATGGCATCGCACAAAGGTGCACAACACACCATCGCAGCGCATGCCGTGGCATGGCACCGGATGATTGGGAAGGTAAGTGGCCCGTCTACGAGAGGACAAGGCTTCGGTAGGGGTGCTGAAATGCGGGCCGGAAGGAGGCAAGCGAGAGGCGTGTGCTCGCGACGTAGGCCCGCCACTTTGGGAAAACGGGAAAACAGGAAAAACAAACAATGAAATCATGCGTGCAGGGCAACAATACGCGAAGAGGACAGGAGACTCTCCAGACAGAGTCTGGGAAGATACGACAATAGTATTCATATTGTGTAATTGTGGAGGGGGGGGCGGGGCACGACGAACGACCGCGAACGACAATCACGCCCCTAATTACCAACGGGGCCCTGTATTCAATGGGCCTAAAGAAGGACTCGAACAGGACAGGGCTGTTCAACGAACGCGCGGCACCGCTTAGTAGACAGCAACCCCTTCTGCCGACGACGTATTTCTGTTTCAGGACGTGGGCCAACGGGGATCTCCCGTCCTCTTCCTGGAACATGTTTGTTGTCGTTAACGGTCCTGGGACCCAGAACCGAGATGGTCCCAGGGGCGGAAACCACAAAAGAAACGGCCGCCACATTTTTTCGGCGACGCCCAAATATGGTGGATTCTGGGACATCAATTTACCAGCCTCGAACGTATCCCTATCCCTAAGATTGACACGCCAAAAGGCGATGACAATCTTAGGGATCCGCCCTCAAAGACTAAGGGAAAATCCCTAAGATTGGCATCGTGATGGGGAGGTGCCCAGCCCAGGGATAGGGATACTGTTCCAGGCTGGGACATCAATTGTGTTGGATGCTCGTTCTGGGGACCTTCCTGGAGCCACTCGCTCCACTCGTGCGTCGAGGCTGCGTCGAACGTCAGTCGATTTGGGTCGACCCTGAGTCGAACCTGCGTCGAACCTGAGCCGAACCTGAGTCGAACTTGAATCGAACTTGAGTCGAACTGGGGTCGAACAGATCCGTTAGGTGGCCTCCAGGGAGGTCCCCAAAACGAGCATCGAAGTTGTGGTTCCCCCCCGCCCCGCGACAGAAGGCGGCCCCCGCGCGCGAGCGAGCGACCTGCAGCTGCAGCTGCGTGGCGCCCGACGGCTCGAAGGCCGTCACCGCCCTCGCGACCTGCCCACCCCCCCGCCGCCGGCCGCCGGCCGCGAGTCCGGGAGGAGGAGGATGAGTGGAGGAGGCTGAGGAGGAGGAGGAGGAGGAGGGGGAGGAGGAAGAGATCACGAGCAGGAGGAGGGGGGAGGAGTGGAGGGGGAGAAGGAGGAGGATGAGCAGGAGGAGGTGCAGGAGAAAGAGCAGGAGGAGGAGGCCACCCTCAAGGGAAGTGAAGACAGCCCTCGACCTCGGCCTCCCGCTCTTGCCGCGAGGAAGGTGCGGAAGAGGTGGAGGTCAAGGGAGGGGTGGGGAGGACTGCTGAGAGTCCAAAATGAGAGGTGCGCGCCCAGACACGTACACAGTCCGGTCACCGATGCGGCTCGATGTGGAACGCGATTTGCTTCACGTCGACGTCGCCGATGCATCGCCGACGTCGACGATGCATCGCTGGTGCATCGCTGGTGCATCGCCTATGCATCGCCGATGCGGCTCGATGCGGCGCGATCCTCGGACCCCATGCACTCAGCGATAGAGAGAGAGAGAGAAAGAGAGAACAACACAACTAATGATTTTCCAAGACGTTGGAGGTGTGCGTCCTCCTCCTCCTCCTCCTCCTCCTCCTCCTCCTCCTCCTCCTCCTCCTCCTCCCCCCCCCCCTGACGAAAGGGCAGGCGTCCGGGTCAGCCGCTGCCTGGGCGGGCGCCTGTGGACAGGGCGCGAGAACTCGCGGCGGGTAGCCCGGAGACGACGACGGAGAACGGGTGGCGACGTGACGTGGCGCCGGGGGTCACAGGAGGAGGGAGGAGGTGGAGGGGGAGGGGGAGGGGGAGGAGGAGGAGGAGGAGGAGGAGGAGGAGGAGGAGGAGGAGGAGGAGGAGGAGGAGGAGGAGGGAGGAGGAGAGAGGAGGAGGAGGAGGAGGAGGAGGAGGAGGAGGAGGAGGAGGAGGGAGGGGGGAGGAGGAGGAGGAGAAGGAGGAGGGGAAGAGGAGGAGGAGGAGGAGGAAGAGGAGGAGGAGGAGGAGGAGGAGGAGGAGGAGGAGGAGGAGGAGGAGAGGAAGAGGAGGAGCGCCTCTGGGCAAGTTTCTTTATGAAAAAGCGGCACGCCGCACGGTGCGGAGCTGCAGGCGATGCACGGAGGACGCGGGGCGCCGGGGCATCGTGCGCGACAGCTCTGCGGCCGCACGCGGCGGCTTACATGCCGACCGCCGGCGCAGCACAGCACGAGGAGCGCGTGCTCACGCGCGGCCGTGATGCGGGTGTGCGGCTCGTGCTCCGGGGAGCGCGCAGGCGGCTGCGTTCTCTCTCGCGTCGCCCGCGCGGTGCTCGACGGCCCCCCCCCCCTATAGAGGCTTCCAGCGAAGTTCAGACTGCACGGTCTGGTACAGGGCAGTTTATAATACATAGGATTCTAAAACACATAAGATGTTTAATGCATGATTAGTTGATGAATCAATGTATGCATGAACTCATCGTTGTTTTTAACACTAATTCCCTGCACTTTTAATACATGAACCGCACGCGGAGAATGTATTAAAAACGGCACTGTATGAAGCGCGCGTGGACGTTTTCTGTCAGTGCATCACCGCTGAGGTCGGATGTACGTGAGAATCGTCCACGCTGGTCACCGTGGAGGTCTCTGGGTCAGAAGTTTGCAGCAACACCATGACAATTGCTGCTGACAGCGAGACCACACGAGTCCGAGACTGTTCAGTGCCGCCCAGCTCTATTGCATCCCGTCTTCTGAGACTTTGAGCAGTTGCGCACTCTGATGTGCCCCCTCATCGGCCTCGAGGCCGCCCCAAGATGGCCCAATGTGGCCGCAAGGTGGCCCCAAGATGCCCCAACGATGCCACGGGTGGCCCCGAAAAGACCACATATGCATCCCGTGCTGGTTTCCAGAAGCAAGCACGTGTCACACTGCGCAGAACAGAAATCATTGGTACCCCAAGAGCTGCAAAGGTGTCCGCAAGGCGGCCCATAGAAACCCTGGGATTGACCACAGCGCGGCTCCCAGAGGCGGATGGGGAGCGCGGAGGGAAACAGGGTAAAAGGCCGTCCTCTGCGACAGCACAACCGAGCCTCGACAGGACCGACAGCGTGACCGAAAACCGACCTTCGCTGAAACCTGCACGCCTCGATCAGCCCGGACGGGCGAGACGCAACGGCGACAAGACCGACCGAGCCGAGCCGAGTCGTACGCAAGCGGGCCCGTGACGCAGCCGAACTACGGGGGTGCAACGGACGGACGAGCGAGCTGGGCGGGAGACACCCCCCCCGAAGGCCCCCCGCGCCCTGCTCGGATTCTCGAAACACAAGGATTTTGAACAAAGGTTGGTTTTTCGGGGGCATCTTTGGGAGGCCTTTGTGGCCCATGGGGGCTCCAAGGTGGCCCTGACGTGTCCAGATGGCATCCGAAGATGACGCCATATGGCCCAATTTGGCCCAAGGTAGCATCCAAAATGCCTCCAAGATGACCCCATGATGGGCTCAGACACTGAAACAGCAGGAGGCCCCCGAGAGGCCCACATCAGTCCGAAACCAAGGGAAATCAATGGTTCTGCTCCTCTCTCCCTGTCGCTTCCGATGAGCTCACGAGGTCTCACGATAGCCAAGAGGGCCCCAAAGAGAGACCAAGATGGCCCGACGACGGCCCCAAGAGCGCCCAAGAGCGCCCCGGGAGGGCCCCAAGAGGTGACTGTTGGAGCTCCAGGGAGGGGACGCCATAAGGACCCCCCCACCTCTTTGATCGATACCCTCCAACATGTTCCCAGGAAGGCCTCCAAGGCCCCCAAGAGGGCCCAAAGAGAGCCCCGAGCTGGTCCCAGGAGGCGCCCAAGCGGCCCCCAAGACGCCCCCCCAAGGCTTCCAAGCGGCTCCCAAAAATGCCCTAAGAGGCCCCGAGGGGCTTCCAAGCGGCCCCAAGAGCGCCAAAGAACGCCCCCCCAGGAGGCGCCCAAGGGCCCCAAAAGCGTCCCCCAAAGGCTGCGAAGCGGCCCCCAAGAGGCCCGGGAGGCATCCGACACGCCCGAGGAGAACCCCCCTCGGGGCCTTCACGAGACCCCGGGCCCTTCTGCTCGCCCTCCTCGTCCTCCCCCGCCACTTCCTCCTCCTCCTTCTCGCCCCTCCCTTGCTTCACCCTCCCCCTCTTTGGGTATGACGGATTCCCCAGTCCTTGACTCCACAGCATGCTTCTCCGCATCCCTGATCAGGACAACTGGCCTGGGCATCGCTTTTGGATGGGCAGTTGTTGGAAGAGTTGGGAGGGGGTGGCGCGAAGCATCTAGAACTTGTTATCGTCTACTATCATCCAGAAATGGCCCCCAAACCATAGCACCTTTTGAAATCAAAGTGGTCCTCCTTCCAGCGTCTTGGCTGTACTAGCCCTGCAAACATGTAGACCTGGAACCACATCCATGCTGAGATGCAGCGACCAAGCCATGTACAGCAACTGTGTAAGTGTGTATGCTGTCCGCCGTGGTGTGTTCGTTTGTGCTTGATTGTTCTTGAGCGCAAAAATCATGAAACTTGGATGCTGCGGCGACCGACTGCAGGAATGGGAGGAGAGAGCTGCGCATCTGTCAGAGTGGGAGGTCTCAGATATTTTAGGCGTCGGGAGCCTTGAGATGCACTCGAGGGAGCTACCTCCTCGAACCTCCTCACGCCTCCTGCAGCTATTCATGTCAGGTTCTCTTCCTGATCTCCTCTCATCTTCCTTGTTGTTTCGTGGCGTTCCTCTGCCGCTGCTGATCCCGAACGGAATCTAGAACCAAAAGCCTCCCCTTCTTTCCCTCAGTCCTTCCAGTCCTCCTCCACCGTCGTCGGCCCTCCCCCTCACACTCCCTGTGTCCGTCCCTCTCTCCTCCACTCCCTCCTCCTCCTCCCTTCCCCCTCCTCCCCCCCTCTCCCCCCCATCCCTCCGACGTCTCGACTGTTTCAATGCGGGGTCCCAGGACCGCTCGACTGCCTCCTTAGGGGAACAAAAAGTGGCATAAACATAAAAACTCGGAGGTCCGCGCGGACTTCTCGGATCGGCGCTGGATCCCCCTCCCTGGCGCGTGGAGCGCGCCAGGGGCGGCGCCGGAGGCGCCGCCAAAGGGGGCCCCAGCGCCGATCCGAGAAACCCGCGCGTACCTCCGAGTTTCTGTCACTTTTTGTTTCCCTACTCCTGGGGACGGGCTCCCTATGTCACTTTGTGTTCCCCTATGTCACTTCTTGTTCCCCTACTCCTGGGGACGGGCTCCCCTCGGCCCGGATCGCTTCCTGACGGCTCTGGGGCCTCGACGCCTCGAACCACGGCCCAGGAGGGCAGAGGAAGCTGCGAAAAGCCCAGGCCATGATTATATATACATACACATATCAATATATACATATGTGTGTGTGCTTACATACATGCGTACATACATGCATGCATGCATGCATACAAACATACCTACCTGTATACATATATACGTATATACATACATACATACATACATACATACATACATACATACATACATACATACATACACACACATATATACATACATACATACATACATACATGCATGCATGCATGCATGCATGTATGTATGCATACATACATACATATATACAAGCCTACATACATACATGCATGCATGCATACATGCATGCATACATACATGCATGCAGGCATGCATGCATACATACATACACGTGCGTACATACATACATACATGCATGCATACATACAGACATACATACCTACATACAACCTACATACATGCATGCATGCATGCATGCAAGCATGACTGCATCCATACATACATACATACACACATGCATCCATCCATCCATCCATCCATCCATCCATCCATACATACATACACACATCCATACATACATACATACACACGTATATGCATGCACACAAATATACATACGTACATACATACATACATACACACATACATGCATACATACATGCAGTACACACATACATGCATACATACACACATACATACACACACATACATACATCCATACATACATACATACATACATACATACGTACATGCATACATACATACATACATACATACATACAGACATAGTTACATATATGCATACATACAAACATACATGCATGCATGCATGCATACATACAACACTGCATACATACGTACATGCATGTGTGCATACACACATACATACATGCATACATACCTACATACCTACATACCTACATGCATGCATGCATGCGCATGCAAGCATGCATGCATGAATCCATACATACATACACACATGCATCCATACATACATACATCAATCGATACATACATACATGCATACATATTCACGTACGTACATACATACATATACACATACAAACATACATACATACATACATACATGCATGCATGCATGCATGCATACATACATACATACACACATACATACACGGCATACATACATACATGCATGCATGCATGCATACATCCATACATACCTACAAACATGCATACATACATACATGCATGCATGCATGCATACATAACCACATACACACATACATACAGACAGACATACATACATACATACGTACATGCATACCTACATACATACACACACATACACACATACATCTATACACATATATGTATACATACATCTATGGACATACACATATGTATGTTTGTGTACACATGAACATATACAGAGATCTGGGCTCCCCCTAAAACCC